GTGTTTATGTTCAAGCTATCTGTGTATTTCTCCTGCAGTTGTACATAGAATGTTTTTACATTCAAAAAAAGGACAAATACTATAGAATTGTATTACATGAACTATATAGAATATACAAATTTATAGAGACGGAAAGATTAGACCTTATCTCAAGGTGGAGAAGAAAGAAAAATAGAGCAATGATTTCCTAAGTACAGAATTGCTGTTTCATTTTGTTTTGTTTTCAAAAGATTTATTATGTATACAGTGAGTGTTCTGTCTGCAGGTATGCCTGCATGCCAGAAGAGGGAGCCTGATCTCATTACAGATGGTTGTGAGCCACCATGTGGGTGCTGGGAATTGAACTCAGGACCTCTAGAAGAACAGCCAGTGCTCTAACCTCTGAGCCATCTCTCCAGCCCCGAGAATCTCTGTTTTATGTGATGGAAAAGCCCCACAAATGGACAGTAGTATCAGAACATAATATCATGAATGTAATAAATCAGTGGAATTAATGGAATTAATGAATTTAAAAAAGCCTATCAGGGGTCACATGGCGTGGCTCAGTGGGTGAGACCACCTGACAGTGAGCCTGACAGTTTGATCCCTGGGACCCACATGGTGGAACTAATCCTCCCACGTTGTCCCCTTGCACTCCACAGCACTTGCTAGGGATAGTGCTGCAAAGTTGACACCCTAGCTACTCAGGGGGTTGAGGCAGGAGGATCACAAGTTTAAGGACAGCCTCAGTAAGATAATGAGTCCTCCCTCCAATAAAAATATGATTCTAGAGACTGTAAAAGACATTGGATACTGATAAACAGTGTCAGGAAGTTATTAAAGGCACCAACACACATGCATCTAACAATTGAGCCTCAAATGTGTGAAGGAAAACCTTAAAGAGTGAACAGGAAATAGATGACTTAGCTGGGTGGCGGTGGCACACGCCTTTCATCCCAGCACACAGAAGCCAGAGTCAGGTGGATCTCTGTGAGTTCGAGGCCAGCCTGGTCTACATCAGGGGTTCCAAGGCAATCTAGGCTACACGGTGTCCAGCAAGGAGGTGCCTGCTGCAGTTCCTAACAAATACCTGAGCTCAATTCCCCATAACCTTCCTAGTGGACAGGGAGGGATGATTCCCACAGCGTGCCCTCTGACCTCCACATATAATTATATGTATATGTGTATGTGTGTATATATACATATGCGCACGTGTGCACACACACACACACACACACGAATAAATAAATGTATCAAATTTTAGAGACCACTATCCCATTCTCAATAACGAGTAGAACAACGCCACAGAAAATCAGTAAATGCACAGAAAGTTTGTAAATTGTAAATCAGTTTCACCCAACGATAGTTTAGCCGTGTACTTTTTATGCACACCTGGACCCTTCTCCAGGGTCAGCCATATGCTAGACCTGAAAACAAGCCTCTGTCACTTCAGATGATTAAAATGATATGAATGGTCCTCAAATTTGGTGGAATGCACACATCATGTCAATCATCTATCCGTCTATCTAATTAATGGATTATAGATAGTCTCTCATTGATTATCCTTTTCAAATGATCCTCCTGCCTCTGCCTCCCAAGTGGTTGGAACTAAAGGCACCACCGTGCCTGGCTTGATATAAGTTCTTAGCACAGTACTAAAGCCATGATTGTCAAAAGGAAACCTGCTAAGTCAATTGGCGCTTACCAAAATTAAACATTGTGGGTCTTCGGACATACCCACATGAAGATGAGAAACTACAGCTTTCGAGGAAATAGTTACGAATCCCTTTTCTGATAAAGAGCATTTATATAGCCAAGTGTGGTGCCACATATGTAGGAGTCCAGCATTTGGGAGCCTGTGGCAGAAGGGTCGCGAGTTCAAGACAGCCCAAGCTACATAGCAAGTTCTGGAGCAGCCTGGACTATGTTGTGAGACATGCTGAGATGCTATCTCAAAACAAAACAAAAAAAAAAAAAACCAGGTTTGAAAGGGGCATATTCAAAAGATATCAAGAAATGATAAGATTGATTAAAGCAGCAGGGAAGTTTCTGCTTTGAACATCCCAGGCTATAAAGCTGTAAGGGAGAGTGCTGAGAGGTCACGTGGTGCTGAAGACTAACAACTAGCAGACTTGGGAGCAGTGAGGCACTTCCTTAGCTCCTTCAAAACTCCCTGTCCTAGGGCAGACTTCATCACAGGGAGAGCCAACAACAGCAAAACACCCCGAGGGTAAACATATCCTGCCCCTCAGAACAGCTAAAGGTGAATTGTCTCCAGCAGACGTCAGTGTTCATCCCGTGGTATAAAAATGCCTGCAGTAGAGAGGCAAGCTGGAAACTCAAACACGGAGAGAGAACGCAGAGGACAATTCCAACTGACTTAGTTGATTTCCGCTTGATGTTACAAGCCCCGATTGGATGATGCTTCCATGGTTTGCTTTCCCCTTTGGTGGGGTAGTGAGAGATGAGATGGGGTCTCACTGTGTAGTCTTGGCTGGCCTGGAGCTTTCTATGTAGACCAGGGTAGTCTCAGACTCACAGATCCACTTGCCTCCACCTGGGATTAAAGGCATGGCCACCACACCTGGGTTTGGTTTAATAGGGTGACTCTTCTCTGCTGGATGTTGTAAATTGATGTGCTGTTTTGTCGTCTGTCAGTCTGCTGCTTCTATCTGCCTGCTATGGCTATTCCTTTGCTTTTTCTGGCTGCATGTCCAATAAGCTCACTCATTAGAAATGGAAAGCACAGCCAACATAGGTCCATAGGAATCCCACTCGGAATCCTCTGTGTACGATTTTTTTTGGGGGTGGTGGTGTTCAAGACAGGGTTTCTTTGTGTAGCTTTGCGCCTTTCCTGGAACTCACTCTGTAGCCCAGGCTGGCCTCGAACTTACAGAGATCCAGCTGGCTCTGCCTCCCGAGTGCTGGGATTAAAGGCGCGCGCCACCACCGCCCGGCCTCTGTGTACAGTTTTAAGTACAGTTAAAAAAATAAAAGGGGCTGGAAAGAGGGTTCGGTAGTTAAGAGCACTGGCTGCTCTTGCAGAGATACCAGTTTCAATTCCCAGCACCTACATGGAGCTCACAGTCATTTGAAACTCTAGTTCTGGGGGGCTCTGACGCCCTCTTCTGGCCTCCATGGGCATCAGGCATGCATGTGGTGCACAGACACACGTATGCAAAACATATATACATGTAAAAAATAGTAGTGAAAAGTTTATAGGAAAATAAAAGATGAACATTTGCAATCCCAGGATTTGAGAGGTAGTGACAGTAGGATTAGGAGTTCAAGGTCACCCTTGGCTACATAGGAAGTCCAAGGCCGGCTCAGAATATAGGAGACTCTGCCTCAAAAAAATAAAAACAGCCGGGCGGTGGTGGCGCACGCCTTTAATCCCAGCACTCGGGAGGCAGAGCCAGGCGGATCTCTGTGAGTTCGAGGCCAGCCTGGGCTACCAAGTGAGTTCCAGGAAAGGCGCAAAGCTACACAGAGAAACCCTGTCTCGAAAAACCAAAAAAAAAAAAAAATAAATAAATAAAAAAAATAAAAACAAAAACCTGAGGAGATGAGGAGTACAAACATGCAAAAGGACAAGTATTTAATAGACATTTTCACCAAAGCCGATGTAAGAGAGACTGACAAGCATATATTATTTAGTCTCATTACTTATTAGGAATGTGAAATGTAAATATGCAGGAAATACCTCTTCACAAGTGCTAGCGTGGGTAATAAAAGAATAATGAGTGTTGAGGATGTAGAAAGGCTAGAGCTTTCCTACACTACAGTCAGAAATGAAAAACAGTGAGCCACTTAGAAAACAGATTTACACCAGGCGGTGGTGCGCACCCCTTTAATCCCAGCACTCTGAGGCAGAGCCAGGCGGATCTCTGTGAGTTTGAGGCCAGCCTGGTCTACAGCATGAGATCCAGGACAGGCACCAAAACTACACAGAGAAATCCTGTCTCGAAACCCCCCCCCCCCAAAAAAAAACAACCAAAAACCAAAACAAAAACCAGGTTTACTGTATGATCAAGTAATTCTACTTGTCTACAAGCACTGTACATGCGCACAAGCTGAAACACATGCCTCACAGAAACGTGAACATGTATGTTTATAGCAGCATTCAGAAAAGCCAAAGGTGGAAAACATCCAAGTATCCCCCGGTTGGAACACATCAACCAGATGTAGTATATCTGACGACCACATAGAAAGCTCAACAGAGCAGTGTGCCCTGCATCATTGCTGAGGAAGCATTAGGCTGACTGGAAGAAGGCACGCAGGACAGACCTCCCAAAGCAGTGAGGTGTAGTAGCTCACATTTGTAACCCCAGCATTCAGAAGGCTGTAACAGGAGAATCTCGAGTTCCAGGCCAGCCTGAATTACATAGCAACACTCTGTCTCAACAGAATAAAACAACCCCCCCCCCATATAATCTGATCGTCTATATGAAATAGCCCAAATAAATTTATTGGGACAAAATAGATTGATCAATGGTTGTTGAGGACTGTGGATGGGAATAAAGTCTGCCTACACATGAGCACAGATCTTTTTGGATAAAATCAGACTGCCACGGGCTGGGGGTGTGGCCAGTGGTAGAGTGCCGAGCAAGCTTGAGGCTCTGAGCTCAACCTCCAGTGTCACCACCAAGCAGGGACAAGGGGACCGCAGCACAGCAACTGGGAGCTGACAGAGATAATTGTGCACTTGACACATGTACCTTTTAAGGAATGCAAGTTACACCTCCATAAAGCTGTATTTACATTTTTGTTTATTATTTTATGTGTATGAGGGTTTTGTCTACATATGTCTGTGCACCATGTCCACGCAGTGCCTGAGGAAGCCAAAAGAAGGCTGTTTCCACCGGAACCAGAGCTGCCGTCTGGGTGCTGGGAATGGAACCCAGATTCTCTGGAAGAGCACCTAGCGCTCTGAACCACTGAGCCGTCTCTCCGGCTGCCAGTAGAGCTGTATTTTGGTACTGGGTCAAACCGTGTCTCCAAGCATTACAAAGCACACTTACCTAGCTTTTTCTTTTGTCTCTTCTTTTCTTCTAAGAGCAATGTGGTGACCTGACAGACAGTCTTGATACTGCTGTCCATCTCCTTCAGCATTTCTGGCAGCAGCTCCATCTGCGCAATCCAGTGGTGGTATTCATCAACATCAATCTCAGCCACCTCCGACAGCACAAAATCTTGAAGAGAGTAAAAGGAAACCATCTTATGGAATTACATCCATACAGATTTATGATATTTGGTAACTCTACGACACGGTTCCATTGGGGGATAGAATTACCTGTGCTTATTGCTATTCTGAGCCTTTTCTCTATTAAATAATTATACAGGAAGAGACCTGGATAGAAGCCCACACAGTTAAATCAGCGAGTTAAGAAAATATTATCCAGGTTAAAAAGGCCTGGGTTCGTCTCCCTTTCTCGGCCCATCTTGCCTCCTTCATCTGCGAGTCCCTCAGCTTTTCTGCATGATTTAACCTCTCCACTTCTGTTTACTTTCTCCCTTCCCTCTGAACCCATCCAGACACTCACTCCAATCTTCTAGCCAGGACAGAAGTTTGGTGAGAATCTTTTCTCTGATATCAATACTCTTAATGTGCGCAGCTATCTTCTCTAAGAACACCTTTCTCTTCTTTCTCTGGCTCTCTGAGATGGAGCCTCTCTTCCCAGGAGAGGTGCTGTCAATAGCATAGCGTGTCATTATCAGCTCCACTTTGCTCATTATTTCGATCAGCCGTGAAAGAATAGCCTGTAAAAAGGAGAAATAACAAGTTAGTTTGTGTGGTGGTTTGAATAGAAGTGCCTCCATTGGTCCATAGGGAGGGGCACTATAGGAGGTGCGGCCTTGTTGGAGTGGGTGTGGCCTTGTTGAAGTGCATGTGGCTTTGTTGGAGTGGGTGTGGCTTTGCTGGAGGAAGTGCAGCACTAGGGATGGGCTTTGAGGTCTCAGAGGCTCAAGCTAGGCTCAGTGTGTCTCTCTATTCTTGCTTCCTGTGGATCTGAATATAGAACTCTCAGCTGCCTCTCCAGCACCATGTCTGCCTGTGGCCACCATGCTTCCTGCCATGATGACGTCGGACTAAACCTCTGAACTGTAAGCCAGCCCCAATTAAATGTTTTCCTTTATAAGAGTTGTGGTGGTCATGGTGTCTCCTCATAGCAATAGAGACCCTAAAGCAGAGGTTGGTACCAAGGACAGTATTGTTGTGATAGGCCTGACCATGCTTTTGTTTGGAGGAATGTGGACATGGGGACTTTGAGTTAGAAAAGCAGTTGAATGCTTGAAGTGGGGCTTCAAGGGCCATCCGAGGAGCAGCTTGGAGGGCAGTGGTGCTAGGAGTTTGGTTCAAAAGGTTTCAGAGAAGAATTTTAGTATGTCGCCTAGAGATCGTTCTTGTATATTTTGGTGAAGAATGTGGCTGGTTTTTGCCCTTGTCCAAAGAGTCTGCTGAAGGCTAAAGTGAAGAGATTTGGATTAATTCCATTAGCAAAGGCACTCTCGAATAGCCTAGTATAGACTCTGTTGTGTGGTCATTAGTGCTCACTCTTATGGAGATTTACAATGCAAAGGAGCAAGCTGAGCAAGGAAAAATACAAAAGGACAGTTCAAGAAAGGGGATGGAGCACCAGGAAAAGGAATGGAGCTAAATCCTGTGTTCCAGGAGGTCTGTGTTCCAGGAGGTCAACAGATTAAAGCAAAGCCTGAAGTTAAATGGAATAAAGGGAGCAGTGACCTCAGGGCAAGACCCCACCCTGCTAAACTTCCACCTTGTGAAAAGGAATTAAAGAACAGCTTAGGTCCAGTCATAGTGGCACAAGCCTTCTATCCTAGCACTCAGGAGACAGAGGCAAGCAGGTCTTTGAGTTCAAGACTAGCCTCACCAGGCAGTGGTGGTGCACGCCTTTAATCCCACCACTCAGAAGGCAGAGGCAGGCAGATCTCAGAAGGCAGAGGCAGGGCAGCCTGGGCTACAGAGTGAGTTCTAGAAAAGGCACAAAGCTATACAGAGAAACCTTGTCTCAAAAAAAAAAAAAAAAAAAAAAAGACTAGCCTGGTTAACAGAGCAAGTTCTAGTACAGCCAAGCTTAGGCAGTGAAGATAACCATCGAGAACAGCAAACTGGTGAAGATGTAATTGAATGGGGCTGGGGGCCATGTTCCAGCCCCAGTAAGCAGCGGAACTTGGCAGCTTCAGCCACATGGTTCTGGCTTTAGAGTTAAGGATAGAAGAAACGGGTTATGGAATCTCCCTCCATGACTAAGGAGACCAGGCATGTGTCAGGGGTGTCCCTGAATGGAGGCTTAGAGAGGCCATTGTGTGAAGCTGTGAAGTTGAAGCCTGGATTGCCTTGGAGACTCCAAGATGTTGGAGATGCCAGAGCCATGAGATACCTGCTGAGGAGAGCTGCTAAAGGAAGTGGAACCAGCCCAAGAGGAAGAAGTGTGCTGCAGTCAACCAAGCTGAAAGGAGCTGGAGTCTGAAGAGCGCTTTGACATCAGACATGGAGATGCAGAGTTTGGAGTTTGCCCAGCTGCCCTTTCCTCCCTTTTGGAATGGTAATGTATATCCTGTGCCATTATATGTTGGAAGTATGCAATTTGATTTTTTATTTTGATTTTACAGGGAATTACAGTTAAGAGATTACATGAGTCTCGGAGGAGACTTTGAACTTTTAAACAGTGCTGAGACTATGCTAGACTATGGGGACTTGAAGTTGGACTAAATGCATTTTGCATTATGTAGATAAAAGCCTATGGGGGCCAGGGAATGCAACGTGGTGATTTGAATAAGAATGATCCCCAAAGGGAGTGGCCTTATTGGAGGAAGTCTATCACTGTGGGAGCTGGCTTTGAGATCCTATATGCTCAAGCTATGCCCAGTGTGGTACACAGCCTCCTGCTGCCTGTGGATCCAGATGTAGAACTCTCAGTTCCTTCTCCAGCATCATGTCTGCAGCATGCACACTGCCATGCTTCTCACCATGATGATAATGGACTAAACCTCCCAAACGGTAAGCCAACCCCAATGAAATGTTCTCCTTTATGAGAGTGGCCATGGTCACAGTGTCTCTTCACAGCAATAGAAACTCTAAGATCATTTGAAAATAAGTTTTGGGCATGTTTACTCTCAGAATGTCAGTAATTAATATAAACCTGACCTGTTCAAGTCTTGCTAGGGTGGTAAGATGGCTCAGTGGTTAAAAGTGCCTGCTGCCAAGCCTGAGGCCCCGAGTTTGGTCCCTGGGATCCACATAGAGTTAGAAGAGAACTGAATCCGGCAAGTTGCCTTCTGACCGCCACATGCATGACCACACACATACAAGCTACAACCAAACACCAAACAAACAAATAAAATAGAATTTTTAAAAATTCTTTGTTTTGTTTTGTTTTTGTTTTTCAAGACAGGCTTTCTCTGTGTAGCCCTGGCTGTCCTGGAACTCACTATATAGACCAGGCTGGCCTTGAACTCACAGAGATCCACCTGTCTCTGCCTCCCAAGTGCTGGGATTAAAGGCGTGCGCCACCACCGCCTGGCGAATTTTTAAAAATACTTCAAGTCTTGCTAGTTCACTTGAGCTTTTGGGTGACTGGCCAAGAGGACTGTGAGTCCTAGGCCATCCTGGGCAATATAGGAAGACCCTCCCATGTCAAAAACAAATGAAGTGTCCCTAGTATGGCTTTACTGAGTCCCAGATTTTCTCTCATCTAAAAAAAGAAAAGAAGTCTTAGGTCAGGTGTGGCGGCTCATGTCTGCAGTCCCAGCACTCAGGAACTACACGCAAGGATTCAAGGCCAGCCTAGGCTACATAGGGGGTTTGAGGCCAACCTGGGCTACGTGAGACCCTGTCTCAACAACTCTTCATATAAATAAAAAACAATTTTTTAGCTTTTATCTTCTAGCAAGACTGAACATCATTGGGTTTTGACCTGGCTGTTGGGGTTCAGCCCTGACCCATTGATGGGTCCCTTGAAGGGAGGAGTGAAGAATTGAGAAATAATAGGAAGAAATATAGACGTAGACGGAGAGAAAGATAGAGACATAGCATAGCTTCAGGAGGGCCCTGGGCCAATACCCAGCAGCCTCAAGTTTATTTCTAATGGACTTTTTATACACTAGCAAGGGGAAAGGCAAAAGACCTCTCCTTTTCAAGATCAAAGCCAACGTACAATAGACCCTTCAAAACACCTGGAAATCACGCCCCATGGCAACGCATTTTGTGATTAGGACTTGAAGTATAAGACACCCGGTAACCATGCCTTTGCACCCTATTATGCAGCCTTGGAGAGCAACATAAACTCTGACTCTCTGACCTTGAGTCGTCACAAGTTGTAATCTTTGTGGGCTCCCACAGCTGGCCTAGGACCTGGCTGTGGCACTTTTGTTAAAATAGCATTTGGTGTGACTTAACATCTCCGAATGGCCTCTGTGTTATTTATGAAGCTAGACTATCAAAGGCAAAGTGTAAATTGCATCCTTGCCATGGTAGTGGGCATTGAGCCGAGGCCTTGCACATCCTCTGCAGGCATCCTACCAGTAAACCGGTGTGTTTGGAATCCCAGCACATGGGAGATGGAGGCAGAAGGATCAGAGGTTCAAAGTCATCCTTGACTACACAGGAAGTTTGAGGCTAGCCTGGGCTACAAAAGACCCTGTCTCAAACAAACAAACAGTGGAAAACTGTACAAACACACTTGTCAGAATTATCAGAGAGAGGGGTTACTAGTATCTTCTAAAAAGGTACTGTGGGGTCTGGTGATATGGCTTCACCGGGAAAGGTGCTTGCTGCCAAACTGACAAGTGGAGTTCCAGCCCCAGATCCTACTAATGGCAGGAGGGAACTGACTCCTGAGGGTTATCCTCTGACTTCCACATGGTGCTGTGGGATGTGAGCACTCGAACACCCACACATGCAAGAGCGTGCACATGAACACCTATGCGCACATACACACACACACACATACACACACACACACACAACACCTGTGCTGATTAGTTTGTTGTAAAACTTGACACAAGTAGGGTCATCTGGTGGCTTAGAGTTACCATTTGCAGCCATAGAACAACATGACCAAAAGGAACTTGGGGAAGAAATGGTTTATTTCACTCACAGTTCCACATAACAGTTCATCATCAAAAGCAGTGAGGGCAGGAACTCACACAGGGCAGGAACCTGAGGCAGGAGCTGCTGCAGAGGCCATGGAGGGGTGCTGTTTACTGGATTGCTTACAGCCGGATTTCATGGAGGCATTTTCTCAGCTGAGGCTCCCTCCCCGACTCTGACGACTCTAGCTTGTGTCAAGGTGTCATAAAACTATCCAGCTCATCAGTCAAGAGGGAACATCAATTGAGAAAATGCCCCCATCAGATTGGTCTGTAGGCAAGCCTTTGAAGCATTTTCTTGATTAAGGGTTGATGTCGGCAGGCCCAGCCTCTGTGGGTGATACCACCCCTGGGAAGGTAGCCCTGAGTCATATAAGAGAGGAAACTGAGCAAGGTGTAAAAAGCGAGACAGTGAACAGCTTTCCTCCTTGACCTCTGCCTCGTTCTTGCCTCCAGGTTCCTGCCTCGGCTTCCCATGACAGTACACTGTACCCTGAAGCCAAATAAACCCTTTCCTCCCCAAGTTGCTTTTGGTCACAGTTTTTGTAACAGCAACAGAAAAAGCAAACTAAATTGTCCCAATAATAATGCGCTGTTGCTAGTTGTATTTAGTGTTGCTATGATAAAGCTGAATTTGTATCA